CCAGTAGCAACGAGTACCAGGAGCCAAAATCTTGATTTCTAAATGCTCTTTTCTACTAAAATAAACTAGAACTTCTTGAAGAAATAGATGATTCCAGGGTGGGACAGGTGAAGTACAAGATCAGCCTGGAATATCTTAGGGTGTTCCAGAAAGCAAGGAAGTGCTAAAAAATAACCACGTCAAAAACAAACAAACAAAAAAACAAAAAAAACCAACAACAATGCAAAGGAACCTATTGAAAGAGGCTCCCATTAGTCAAATCTGGGACAATCTGAACATCCAAACAAATAATGACAGTGTAAAAATTATAACCCATTCAAAAACGTAAGAAATCTGCAAGCTCGCACTACATAAATAGGCATAAATTATAAAGAATAAATTCTTCCTGACAGCACGCCTGTAATCTCAGCACTTTGGGAGGCCGAGGTGGGCGGATCACAAGGTCAAGAGATCGAGACCATCCTGGCCAACATGGTGAAACTTCATCTTTACTAAAAATACAAAAAATTAGCTGGGTGTGGTGGCATGTGCCTATAGTCCCAGCTACTTGGGAGGCTGAGGCAGGAGAATGGCTCGAACCCGGGAGGTGGAGGTTGCAGTGAGCTGAGATTGTGCCACTGCATTCCAGCCTGGTGACAGAGCAAGACTCCGGCTCAAAAAAATAAATTAAATAAAAGTACACAAAATTGATGGGATTAGAAAAATCACATTTGGCAACTAGATTTGAACCAAACCAAATGCATCAAATTTTATCTGTGGATTTGTAGTTTCCAGTATTTAGTGTAAAATCTCCTATGATGAGACCACTGGGTTGATGGAGTTAACTGTATTTTTTAATTATCCTGGTAATTCTTCATCAGTCCCAAGAAGACTCTAAACAGAAAAGAAAATTAATTTCCTGTATTAGCATGCTACAAGACACTCCCACCAGTGCCATGACAGTTTACAAATGCCATGGCAACGTCAGGAAGTTACCCTATATGATCTAAAAGGGGGAGGAACTCTCAGTTCTGGGAATTACCCACCCCTTTCCTGGAAAACTCATGAATAGTCCACCCCTTGTTTAGCATATAATCAAGAAATAACTATAAGTATACTTAATCAAGCAGCCCATGCCACTCCATTGTTCTCCCTGTGGAGTAACCATTCTTTATTCCTTTACTTTCCTAATAAACTTGCTTTCACTTAAAAAACTCTAATTTCCCATAAGTCTCTTAGGGTCTGCTCCACAAATAGGTAAAACTGATTGTGTTTGTATTTCCATGATGGTGTAATTGTCTCCCATTTTTCCCATTTGGGCCCAGAACATTTCTTTTGACAGGTTCTGCCCCGTAAAGGGAGCTGTTTGACTTTTGCCTCTTTGATCGAGAAATAAGGGTTCTGACACCATCCCTGCTCTGTGCTCAGCACTGAGTTAGGTACATTTCAAATTTTCTAATCTCCATGAGAACACTTGTGCATCGGGTGTGTTAGTGTCCATTGAATAGCTAAGGCTCAGAGAGGTTAAGTAAGCTCTCCATGTCACACAGCTGGGAAATGGCTCCTCTAGAATTAAAACCTGGTGAGGTTAACAACTTTAAAACCTAGGTTTTTTTGGGTCGGGCACGGTGGCTCACGCCTGTAATTCCAGTACTTTGGGAGGCCGAGGCAGGTGGATTACCTGAGGTCAAGAGTTCGAGACCAGCGTGGCCAACATGGCAAAAAACCATCTCTACTAAAATTATCTGGGCATGGTGGCAGATGCTTATAATCCCACTACTTGGGAGGCTGAGGCAGGAGAATTGCTTGAACCTGGGGGGTGGAGTTTGCAGTGAGCTGAGATCACGCTGCTTCACTTCAGCCTGGGTGAAAGAGTGAAATTCCATCTCAAAAAATAAAATAAAATAAAACCTAGGATTTTCCTCCTATATCAGCATGAAGTTTAAGGGTGTGGAACTCACAGGTGTTTCATTGGCAAGAAAATGCATTGGGGATTTAGGTTTGAAAGTTAAGCAAGCAGAGTAAAAATTTCTTAGAGTTACAGTAAACTTTACATCCCTTCAATTATCTGTAAAGTACAGCATAAACACAGAGTTTCATCTCTTATTAACCCATTTATGCCAGAAGTTGCAAATTTTTTTTGTGAAAAATCAGACCTTGGCGATGATCTTGAGCAGTAGGCTATCAATAGCTCCCACAAGCTTAGAGTTCCACTAATGGAACACTAGGCATAAATGAGTTTTAATCCACATAGGATTCCTTCCAGTGTTGGAACAGTTTTCTGCTCTAGTGGGTGAAAGCAACCTGAAGTAGTTGGCTTATGTCTAGGGGCCATGTCAAGTGAAAAAAGCACGTCCTCAGATACTGGAACCACACCAAGGGCATCAGGAGCTCACATTTTGAGATGTACATGAGAAATAAGGCAAGAGGTGGATCTCATTTCCCATCGTGCTGTTCTCATTGAGCGAGGATGTTGGAATCACCTGGGCTACATCCTTCCATAGTCATCTTTCCACTCCAAGCATGGATGGTTGGATGTGCCTGGGTTGAGTGTGCATATGATGCAACCTCACTCCATCCCCTGCGTAAGTAGTTTCCCCACAAATAATTCCTACTCCCCAGGGCAGCAGTACTTGGTCTGCAGAATCCCTGCTACAAACGTTGTGGAATTCCTTTGCTCTCTCCATTTCCTCCTTCATTTTTTTTCCTTTCTCTCTTTTTATTTTTCCCTTCCTCTCTCTCTCAAAAATTATTTGAACATCACAAAAGCCAATTGGACTGAATTCCATATGTATCATTATATACTGGTTTCCCACAAATATCCCTGGAAATTTTGTCAAAGCTAAAATATGGAGCCAGCCTTGAGGGAGACAGAATAGGGACTGGAAAGGTGTCATAATAAGCTATGAGCACTGAGCAGCTGTGTTACTGATGACGATCACAACGGCCCTGAGTCACTAAGCATTTACCGAGGGACAGGCACTGTATGACATGGTAATCTAGAAGACCTTGGAGAGGAGGTTTTACAACTTGGCATGCATGAGTCCTGGGAAATTTGCCTAGCTTTATTGGTTACCACAAATGGCGGTTGTAAACATTACAACTAGGACAACCAGGTAAAAGGAAATATTTAATGAGTGCCTATTAAGATCTGTAAGCCAAGCATCATGGATACAGGGGCAAACTGAAATAAACATATCCCTGCTCTTATGCTGTCTATATCCTAGTACATGGGCTGGGGAAGAACAAGGGGAGGAAATGTCAATCAAATAATCACAGAAATGCATATAAACTTGCTATTGTGGTGAGCTATGTAGGAGCGGTACATGACGTGCATCCCACAGGGCCGGGAACCAATCTATCTTGGAATCTTGACTTCCCTATGTACCAATTGTGATTCTAAGGGGATTACTGAGCACCTCTGTGCCTCAGTTTCCCCAGGTGTGAAATAGGAAGAATGATCACATCTACTTACAGGGCAGTGACAAGGATTTGTGAATTCATATGTAGCAAGTGCTTAGAAGAGAGACTGAGGCAGCAAGAGCAGTCAGTAAATATTATTACCATCATGGCCACATTGGCCATGTCAGTGTCCATGTCAGTGTCAGTTCTAGGCAACCTGCTCAGGGAGGTGAGGGGTAGCAGACATGGTCCTTGCTCCACCCTGTGCTCCTCACACCCTTTTGCCAGTCTTTGTGCCCTTCGCCCAGGTTTTTCATGGTTTGCTCCTCATGGAGCCTGCAGCCTTCTTTAAAGACTACCTTCTGGCCACTGTAGCCATTTTGCCTGGGTATGTAAAGTCTAGAAGTATCTGGCAGTTTATACCCCAAGGTGCAGCCTAATTTGAAGGATTGTGGAAGCCCCGCTCCCTGGGCACAAGGAGAACAAACTGAGCTGCAGTGTACACTCCAGAGTTCCCCAGGGATCAGGCTGGGGCTGGAACTTCATTCAAAACCACACGCTTGTTTGGCTTCTTTCCCTTCCCCATCCTGCTGTCCCCACCGTCGCACAGGTCTCCTCGGGAATCACAACCCTAATGAATCTCGGTGCCGGGGACAGCCCCTGTGGGATCTAAGTCATCAAGGAAGATTTCCTTCAGGAAGTGAAAGCTGGATGGACCTAGATGGTGTGTAGGAGAAGAACAGGCAGAGAAAGAGCGTGTGCGGAAGGTGGCGGCGGGAGGAACCCTCTTGCCAGCATTTAAGGAACAGCAGAAACTGGCAGAAGCCACTGTGGCCTGGGTCCAGAGGCCTCTGGGGGTGGACGATGTGGGCTGAGGCCTGGGGAATCAGTGGGACCTCAGTTGACAGGGCCTGGAAGTGCGGATTGCAGAATTGGATCTTTACGTAAGAGGAACTGGGGAAGCCCCAGAGGCAGGATGAGATACGATCAGGTTTGGGTTTTGAAAACACCAATAAGGCAAGTGTGCAAAGAACAGAGGAGAAGGAAGCAAGAGAGGACTGAGATCAGCTGGGAGCTCCTGCAGAGGCTAGAGATATTAGTGGTCCAGGCAAGAGATTGTCAGTATTATTCCCAGCCACGGAAGATTTGCCTGTTGTAGGTCTTTCATGGTGAAACGTAAACTTATTCTTGGAAATTAAAGATTCAAGCACTGAATGTGGTAGGCAGGGGCTGAAACGGTTCGTAACCTCTACCTGACTAACAAGTGCCAGCCTCCCTTTCATGTCATGGAAGATGCGACAGAGAACAGGCTCCCAGGCCATTCTACCCCACTTCCAATCACATAACCAGCGTGTGGTTGACTGTGTGATTGGAAAGGGGGTAGAAATAGAAGTAACTGGACTTGAGAAATATTTAAGCAGCAAAAAATTGGCAAGTTATTTTGCAGTTCCAAGAATACACTTTCAGTAAAACCGCTATTAAAGTCTAGATTTATCTAAGGGTAAATTTTGTGATATAGGGCTTATAGGCCATATAAGAAAATTTTTTACCAGTAAAATAAAGTTTGAATTTGTTTTTATTTTGCTGTAACAAAGGCAATAAAGAGAGGAAGTCTCTCAAATATTTAAAAACTTTTATTTTTACTTTCAGAGAATTTGAAGGCATACAGATGAAATCTGACAAGACATGTGAATTTATAATTCTAAAAATAATTTCACAGCAGAGAGAAAGCATATACCTAGATAGGTACACATTTATTACAATATAAAGACATAAATGTATATTTCTGAAACATTCTAAAAACATAATGTAGGAAGAAATATTTATCAAATATACAGAATTATATACAGTATGCATTTAGGAAAAGCAGTAGTAAAAATATGCACAAATAAACCATCTGTAAACACAATTTTTAAGTCTTACAAGTATTACATGCATTTCTCTGCATTTTACATTTATGAAATCATATTGTTCCTAGGAGTTCAAATCACAAAACAAATGTTATATAGCAGATCTCTAACTTTTGCATGCTTTATAATTGTCCTATTTAATAGAAAAATTATGGCATGGGAAATCATTTTATAATATTAAAGTCACATTGAATATTTTAAAGCTGTGACTAAACTTCGAAACATTGCCCTCCACCACAGACCCTAAATCAAGTACTGCAAATATTAAAAAAAATGACTGAGGCAAATTACCATTAGAACACACACACATACACAGACAAACACACAGACACACACACACGCACGTCTGTGCTTCATATGCACATACACAATTTAAAAATTGTTGCTTCATCCTTACCCTAATGTCATAAAGGAATCACATTAAAAAAATAAAGAATTTTAAGGTCCTCTAACAAAATTATGCCCCAGTGAATCACTAGTCTTATAAGATGTCTGACTTCATTAAAGTCCTTTTAAAAATAGAGGTGTTCTCTAGTTTCCCAATAATGTTTCTATTTCAATTCAGGAAGAACGCAATTTCATGGGAGGCTTGATCACTTTAACGATCATTTAGCTTGGCTTCCATTATTAAGCAGGCATTTCCCTAAGTAGTACATTAAAGCAGAGCTACAGTAAATGGATTGTCAGTATTACTCCCAGCCCCAGAAAATTTAGCTGTTGTAGGTCTTTCATTGTGAAATGTAAACTTATTCTTGGGAATTAAAGATTCAGACAGTGAATGTGGCAGCCAGGGGCTGAAACGGTTCGTAACCTCTCCCTTTCATGTCATGGAAGATGCGAGAGAGAACAGGCTCCCAGGCCATTCTAAGCACCTGAGGATGGCGCTGATGCAGGTGAAGTGTAAACCAGCAGTGAACCCTGTAGAATGCCTTGAATCCCAGCACTCAGTCCGCTTCCCTGAGTTGGCTATGACGTTAACAAATACCACGGTCTAGAAAGACAGTATAGCTTCTGGAACAATTTTGCAGAAGAAAAAATATCAACACCTGGGCCTAAATATTCTTTATAAGCTATTGTATGATGTGGGCTTTTGAAGTTTGCGTTCCGGTAATGCAGAAGCCGTAAGCACCATTTTTGCAGAAAAGTCGAAATGGCTGTTTTGGTCTTGGTTAAAAAAAAAATCTGAAAAAAAAAAAGGTACACCGTAATTATATATCAAAAAAATGTATTTAAACAAGACAAATTATTAGCCAAAAAAAAAAAATGCTAAAACTTAAATTGCCATGGGCTTTTACCAAAGGTGCAGCTTACTGTGATAAACATGCACGCTGTCTTGGCTGAAGACTGGGGTCTCACCACTAAGCTAGAACACTTTCCTTACCCTACTTGATTCAGTTCTGTTGGTTGGGATGCTCAGAATTGGACAAATTTCATAACAGCATCAGACACTTGGTAGAGGAATAATAATGTATTCATTTGGGCCTTGTTCAGAAATTTTATCTGTAATTGCATGTTTCTCTAAATAATCTACCAATTAGCAAATGCTCCTGAACTTGCCACTGGCAAACAGTATTTTCTCTCCAGGCAAATCCCAGGAGGCGCTGCTAACAGAACAAAATGATAGAATCTGGGTTTAAATGCTGACATGTCACTCTCTAAAGCCATATGTTACAAATGTCTTAGTTCCACCACCGGGGGTGGTGGCTCACGCTTGTAATCCCAGCACTTTGGGAGGCCAAGGCGGGTGGATCACGAGGTCAGGATTCGAGACCAGTCTGGACAACATAATGAAACCCCATCTCTACTAAAAATACAAAAAGTTAGCCGGGCATGGTGGTGGGCGCCTGTAATCCCAGCTACTCGGGAGGCTGAGGCAGAAGAATAGTGTGAACCTGGGAGGCGGAGGTTGCAGTGAGCCGAGATTGCGCCACTGCACTCCAGCCTGGGGGACAGTGTGAGACTCTGTCTCAAAAAAAAAAAAAAAAAAAAAGAGCTTTCTTAGGCTAACTTTTGATCACTTCAATAGTTTTGAATTCATTTTAATGCCTATTAGGAGAACATAACTAGACTTACTAACTCTTAATTTCATTAAGGAAATTATTACTCAGCACAAGGCCAACATATAGTATTAGGCTTATGTTAATTTAAAGGAAATAACTCAGTAAGTATTGAAATAAATAGCAGTTGGTTGGTATATGGATATGGCAAAAGTTGTGGAGGGAACATGAGAACTCCTCTACTGTAAGAAAAAGCATTGAATGGCATACTGCAGAAAAAATATTCTATTGTGTTCAATACAGGCTGATAAATACATACACTTATCGTACAAGTCATTTCATAACACAAACCTAGACCCTAGGGCTAAATAAAGTCTACCACTCGTGTTTTGTAAAATTTATCGGAACACAGCCTTTGTAGGCAGAATAACGGTCCTCCTAAAATGTGACTGCTCTAATCCTTGGAACATGTGAATATCCTACTTTATATGAAAAAAAGGGCTTTCCAGATGAAATTAAATTTATGAACTTTGAGGTGGGAGACATGATCCTGGATAATATCTTGTCAGACAGAAGCCATATAAGAAGAAAGAGAGATTCAAAGCATGAGAGGGACTCAACCGACCATTGCTACTGGCTTTAGATGGGGAAGGTTTCATGAACCAAGGAATATGGGAAATTTCTCAAAGTTGAGTATAGCCTTCAGCTGACAGCAGCAAAAAAAATAAACACATCAGTCCTGTAACCATGAAGAATTAAATTCTGCCAACAACCCAAACTAGCAAGAGAATAGATCCTCCTCTAGAACCTCCAGAAAGAGCCCCGACGACACGATACTTTTAGCCTGGAAGAGCCTCATCAGACTTCTGATCTACAGAACTGTAAGATAATAGATCTGTGTCGTTTAACTCACTAAATTTTAGTAATTTGCGGTGGGAGCAATAGAAAGCTAGAACATCAGCCCACTCATTAGTTTACAAACTGTCTGTGGCTGCTTTCATGCTCCAAGGTAGTATTAAGAGGATGTGACAAAGACTGTTTGGTCCACAAAACCTAAAGTATTTGCCAACTGGCCCTTCACAGAAAAAGTTTGCCAAGCCTTACTATTCACATGCAAAAACCATGAACAGCTGCTAGCATTTACTGAACACTGAATTGATGCCAGGCTCAGGAATAAGTATTTGGTATTCACATTAAATTTTTGTGATACACACTCTTTGGGTCATCATTTTACAAATTAAAAAAAAAAAAAAAGGAAGCAGAGAGTTTAGGGAACTGCTCAAGGTCACCCAGCAAATTAGAGGTGAGCTGGGATTCAAACCCCAGCCTGGCTGACTTCCCAGCATAGCTCATCCCTCGTCATTCTCCCTACCTTGCAGAGGATAAGGAATCGCCTAGATGCTCACCTGAGCCATCTTATCGCTGGAAAAACACGATGGGGAGCTCCCGGCTGGGCACCAGGGTGCCTGAGTGTAGCATCTCAACAGGCTCGTTGTCTGTGGCCTGGATGTCATATTTGCGGACAATCTGCAATGCGCATGCACACAAAAACAGAATTACCCCTCTCTTCTTCTGCCTTGTGAAATAGCACAGAACATAATTGCAGAAACCGGTAAAGGTTTTACCCAACAAAGAGCCAAATGCAGCTGAAGCTCAGCTAATCGGCGACCAATGCACATTCTTTTTCCAATGCCAAATGGAAGATGCGCAAAGGGATTAATTTTTTCCTTCTCCTGAAGCCAACGTTCAGGTCTAAACTGACTTGAATCTTCAAAATTGTCTTCATCGGATCCCAGCACCTGGGTATTTAGCATCAGCACTGTCTAAAAACACACAGAAACACATAGTATTTAAAATAACCAGAAGATACCTTTGAATGACAACATTTACAAAAGTTGTCACCTTACAAATCAAAAGCCAAATCCACAAATGTATAATAATGATGATTGCCAATATGCATGGAGCGCTTAAAATGTGCCAGGTAATAAATAGATAAAGGGCTTTAAAATTGTACACCACACTCACAACAATCCCGCGCGGCAGATTCTGTTATTAAACCCCTTTTACGGATGAAGTTGAGGCTCACAGAGATTATGTAACTCACTCAAGACAACACAGATAAAGGTGAGACTGAATCCAGGTCTCTGTCTCCATAGCCATTAATTCTAATTCTATACTATGCAACATTCACTACCATCTCTGTATTTCCAAAATGAATATTTTCCAGTGCAAAGTCTAGGGAGATCTGACGAATATTTGCAAAGTGTATCTTCCAAGGTTTTGTAAGGTGTAGAATATACAAATTCGACTTACTCCTTTGGGTAAAGCATATTCACCCAGAACTGTTGCCTTATCAAGAGTCCGAGTTGTAAATGGTACACTCGGCGTAAGCCTGAAAACATAAAATCAAAGATGTCAAGGTGAGCACGAGCACCGTCTAAGTTCTCTCTGAAGTGTCAGTGGGAATGCAGATTGGATTAAATAAGTGCAGCCCAAGTGCATACTCAGAAAGGCAGCATAATCACAGATCTTCCTAAAGAAGTTGTCTTTTTCTTCTCAATAATTGTATCTCTTGTTCCTCTCATCTTCTTGAGTCAGTTAAAACCCCAGTGCAAGGGTGTTTAGTAAACTGTTAACATTGGTTTTCTCCGTACTTCACTCCAGACTTCAATTTGTATGTTTCTATGCTAGCTCTTGAAGCGCGATGTTTGTTCTGTTTCTCCTATGTACTCTTGACAAAGTTGACAGTATCCTTCTCATCCTAAAATGTTGTGAGTTTTGTTTTCCCAAAAGGATGTGAAAAGAATTTCCAAAAAATGTTTTATACCGGAGGCTCAAAACCAAAGCTGTCTGTACGTCCTATTACATAACAATATAGCTCTTTTGTGAGCTTCCATCTCATAGCCTTCAATCATGCCCCTATCTTAATTAGTGCTTATAGCGTTCATTAGAGTAGCAAGATTATCGAATTAAAGGGGAGGGCACTGACCTTCCAAGATTTAATAGAATTTGCCCAAATGATTTAGGAAATGAGTGCCAGAAAAGAAATATGGCTCCAAAGATTTTTTTGCAGTGTGATAATTGTTTCTAATTAGCTAGGGGAAGCTGTCCATGAGTAGGGGACCCCTTGCTTCATAATTAAGAGAACAGTGGTCTAACACATTTATATTGGCTCAGAGATAGGCTCTTACCTCATAGATTCTTTCAGACAGGCTTTCAAATATGGCATAGTCCCCAAATCTTCTGCCCGTGGCACCTGATTCTCAGGTAATACACTTTGAATTTCCTTAAAAAGCTTTTGTTGCACTTTTGGATTACGGGATAAATTGTAGAGAATCCACATGAGACTGTTTGCTGTCTGCAAGCCAAATGGACATAAACTTGAGTTTTTGTAAATAACTGCATTAAACCACTATTAGCTGAAAAAAGGTGATACCTACCACCTTATTCTGCAAATATGTTAGTGAAGCTTCTTCATGTGTCCTTATAGCTATGCCTTGAGACAAATCCAATATATAAAAAAGCAGATTTATTTCATAAAACGTATCAATTAAGGATATATTTTAAATTAATTACTGAGGAAACCAAAGTATAATCCTTTAATCAGCTGCTTTAGAACATTTAAATACAGTTTTGTTTTGTTTTGTTTTGTTTTTGCGATGGAGTCTCACTCTTGCCCAGGCTGGAGTGCAGTGGCACCAGGTCAGCTGACTGCAACCTCCGCCTCCCGAGTTCAAGCGATTCTCCTGCCTCAGCCTCCTGAGTAGCTGGGAGTACAGGCGTCCACCACCACGCCTGGCTAATTTTTGTATTTTTAGTAGAGATGGGGTTTCACCATGTTGGCCAGGCTGGTCTTGGACTCCTGACCTCAGGTGATCCACCCGCCTTGGCCTCCCAAAGTGCTGGGATTACAGGTGTTAGCCACTGCGCCTGACCTAAAATATGGTTTGACACAATAGTTGTTCGAACGCAAATGAGTACATGTAAAACTGGTGAAATGAGAATATTAGCGGGTTAAATCAATGCCAATTTTGGGATTGTGACAACGTTTTCTTGTTAGACAGGATGTTACTATTAGGGGAAATGACGGATGCAAGGGATCCCGCTCTATTTTTTCTTAGAACTGAATGTGAATCTACAATGATCTCAAAATAAACATTTAATTAAAAGTTGCTTGATACAAAAAACATTGATATAAAAATGGAGTAAACAGAGAGGGATGATGATCCTCAGGGTGTTGCTAATGAGAGGCTTTAAGAAAATGTTATAGTGGGAATGGACAAGAAACGGCATTTCTGAAATTTAAAAGTTCCTTTGGCCACACCCTAAAAAGTTACCACAAAAATAAACAGGCACTATCTACACTCGGGGTTTCAACCACATGTAAAGAGCCCTCATACGAGGGTGCCAACACCAAAATAAGAAATTCAAGCATTGAGTTGAGTACTCCAGCTACAGTTTCTGACAAAGGCCTACGCCCTTTTAAGTGGCATCTTTTATTTTCTCTGCACAGGCAATGACTGGAGAAAAAATATTGGTGGAAACAGCCAGTGTAGCTTTAAGCTACATAATATTCACCACTAGTATTCATATGTAGTTATTTTTAGGCCGTACTTCGCTAACTTAAGCCAAATATTCCCTGAAAATGATCATTGTGTCCACCTCTGCAGACATGAAGGCGCTGTTGCTAAGTGCCATGTGCCACTCACACAAATGAGCAAAGTGCACGACCATTCAGGGACGATGGTTATTTATTATTTTTGGAAGAAGATGCCTCCAAGGCAGGCTTCTTCATGTCAGAGGACTGGCAGCCTCGGCTGCAAATAAACTATAGACGCCATGATTGTAAGAGTCTAATTTACAAAACAGGAAGAGGGTGTAGCCATCAAATTAGATACACTTTCAAATGGCTCTGATTTTCCAAATGTGACTTTCAGAATAGCCAGGACCAAAAAAGAAATGGATTTAACCATATCAGTGAGTCCCTCACCGCAAGTACCAAATAGAGTTTCCAAAAGGCAGATAACTGTAGCTTTTACCAAAGCCATGTAAGACAGTCTGAGCCTGTAGGGAAAACTGCAGGGGCTAAGCTGCAGCAGCTGACTTGAGGGGAAGTGGCCTGGAAAACCTCGGGGGCACAAACTGTCCTGGACTGACCTCCGTGGAACAGACCGAGCTCACTGACTGGCCTGCTGCACCCACTCTCTTGGCTAAGTTCATCATTCTCCATCCACCAGCCAGAGCCCACTTTTAAAAACATAAATGATCAGGTGATTCCCTTGTTTAAAATGCTGCAAGAGCTTCCCATCACAGGTGCAATCAAATCTAATGCCTTACCCAGGCTGGGCTCACAAGACTCTGACTAACAAGGCTCATCCAATTCTCCAGTCTCAGCTCTGACCACATTTGCTAGTTCTCCAGCTCCATCCCTCTTTCTGCCCCAGGGCCTTTGCATGGGCTGTTTCCTCTACCTGCAGTGCTCTTCCACCAGGTCTTTCTGTGTGGCTGGCTCTTCTCATCATTCCAGAGTCAGTTCCAGTACTGCTTTCTCAGACAGGGCTCCCCTTTAATCATCTCCACCCCTCTATATTACACCATCCTGATGGCGTCCTCTGCAATCCATACCACTATCTAAAGTGACCACATCTGTTTGTTTACATGGCTACTGTCCGTCTTCCCCACTTGCATACAAGTTCCATGAGAGTGGGAACCCTTGTCTCTGGTTCATGGTGGTCTCTCAAGAACCTGGAACAGTCCCAGGCATACAGTAGGCGCTCAGTAGTTCCTGAATTCATTTATTCAACAAGTATCTATCAGCCACTACTAGATGCCAGGTACTGTTCTATGTCCTGGAATCACGGCAGTGGATAACCCTAAGCCATTGCTCTCAGAGAGGTCACATTCCAGTTGAAAATATAAAAGAATAATGGGTGACACTTTACTTTCACCGCTGTAAGGAGCCTCCCAGGGTAAGTAGTTCAATAGGAAAGTGAGCGAGGATGGATTCCCACTTTCAACAGCCTTCTGGAGCATGAGGAGAGATGAGAAACTCGCTATCTCCTGATATAGAAAACCTACCTTTACCTCAGGCAAGAAACAGCACAGAAGGGGAAACACATGGAAAATAACTGCTTTACATTTTGCTTAGGAACTTTAAGATGCATGAAGTAAATGTTGCACTTAGGAGGAGGTTGGTGTGCGTCACTCCCATCACAGCTCAAACCAGTATCCAGGTCAATTCAACCTACCTGAATGCCTATGGCAGGGTTGGTCTGTACTTAGTATCTACTATCCCCTAGGAACTATCGGCCACATCAGAGACAGAATTTTGGTCTTTACAATGAGCTGTTTCGTTTCAGTTAAAATCCACTTGTCCCAGACTCTTTGGGACTTTGTTTACAATTCTAAGCGATAAAAATATTGGCTTGAAAGAGAGTATGCCCTTTTTTTTTTTTTTTTTTTTTTATAGTAAGTAACAGCCACAGTTAGGCACTTTGGGGTAACATGTACAACCGAACAAAATACATCCAATTTTGAAAAATCTGGATTCCGTATCTTGCCAGGGCAGGGAACTTTACTGCTCCTGAACTCCCGCAGCAGCGTGCGTGGACTTCATGGCACTCGTCACATCCTACTCTGGGTTTTTTTCACTGGGGCACACGAAGTCTCCTCCTACCCAGTGTTTAAGCACAAAAGGCCATGCACGGATGCACAGTGGCATCTAGTATGAGACTTTTCATTTTTGTGAAGTTGGTGCTCAGTGAATCCCGGTGACATGAATGAGATGAATTACTATTTAAAATCTGTCATCTAAAAATTGTACAGACTGTTCATTTAGCAAACTCAAATCCAGCCCACCCTTACCGTTTCCACTGCAGCCAGCTGGAGCTCGGTGACAGCAGCATACAATTCTTTCTTTGAAAGCCGATTCTGGTGATAAATGTCACAAAGGAAATCTGCACTAGGCTGCTGAGAGTACTTCTCTAACCGGTTGTCAACACAAGATTTGACTATTAGAGCAGAGAAGAAAGAGAGGAAGTCAGCTGAAAATGAGGATGAGGAAAATCACAAAAGAAAATCTCAGTCCAAAATCCTTCTTGCAATATCTAAATAGTCTTTTCAGGAACACTGACAATTTGTTACACACACTAATTATTGCCTTCTTGTTAAGTCTGCAAGGATTTTTCAATACCCACATGAGTGAGGCTTCTCAAACTTCAATGTGGATAGGAATCACCTAGGCATCTTCTCAAAATGCAGAATCTGAATCAGGGCTTGGGTAGGCCTGGAACTCTGCATTTCTAATAAGCTTCTAGGTGATGCTGATGCCACTGGGCTGCAGTCATAGTTTTGAGTAGTAAGAGTTTAGATCTTGGGAGAAATAAGCGTAAAAGAAGGTAGGATTTGGGCTCACTTTCAGAATCCAACTTGGACCCAGATATTACTAAGCACACATACCCCACATACGCACAAGTACACTGTCCATCCATGTTGACAATAATGGTAAAAATTTCTAATATTTACAACATAAAATGTAGGCGTGCACCTTCCTCACTATTAAGCAAACAACCACCAGGCTTATTATAATAATGAAGATGGTAATAATAATGGTGATCACATATGGCACAGCAGTTAGTTCGAGTCCAGGAAGCCCTCTGTCTGGCTTCAAACCTTGGCTTTGCCATCACCTGGCATGCAATCTTGGGAACGTTTGCTAACTTCTTTTTTTTTTGAGATGGAGTCTCACTCTGTCGCCCAGGCTGGAATGCAGTGGCGCGATCTCGGCTCATGGCAAGCTCCGCCTCCCAGGTTCATGCCATTCTCCTGCCTCAGCTTCCAGAGTAGTTGGGACTACAGGTGCCCGCCACTACTCTCAGGTATTTTTTTTTTTTTTGTATTTTTAGTAGAGACGGGGTTTCACTGTGTTAGCCAGGATGGTCTCAATCTCCTGACTTTGTGATCCGCCCGCCTCGGCCTCCCAAAGTGCTGGGATTACAGACATGAGTCACGGCGCCTGGCCACGTTTGCTAACTTGTATGTGTCTCAGGTACCCCTCTCAGGGCTAACAAAAGGACCTACCTTATAGGTGTGTTGTGAGGATTAAATAAATGTATAAGTGAACAATGCCTAGCATCAAATATTCCCCTTTGTCATGTAGCAGAAACAGCTCTAGTCCACTGAGATTCTGTGATATGCCAGGTTTTTATGTTAACTATAATCTGTATTAGACCCAGAAACAGTTACATTGAGGTAGGTACTCTTATTATTATGATTATTTATTATTATTATTAGTCCATTTTAGAGACAAGGCAACTGAAGATGAAAAGGTGATTGCACATTTGGCCAAGCCACCACAACCAGTGACAGAGCTCAACTTGAACTCAGGGTTCCCTGACTCCATAAATTTTACTTTTTCTTTTTTTGAGATGGAGTCTTACTCTGTCTCCCAAGCTGGAGTGCAGTGGCGCAGTCTAGGCTCCCTGCAACCTCTGCCTCCCAGGTTCAAGCAATTTTCCTGCCTCAGCCTCCTGAGTAGCTGGGATTACAGGTGCCCGCCACCACTCCCAGCTAATTTTTGTATTGGTAGTAGAGACTGGGTTTTACCATGTTGGCCGGGCTGCTCTCAAACTCCTGGCCTCAAGTGATCTGCTTGCCTGGGCCACCCAAAGCGCTGGGATTATGCGGGGGAGCCAGTGTGCCCTGCCAGATTTTACTTTTAACCACTCTTAATTCCCAAAGAAGACTATAGAAAGCTTGTTACTTAGAATTTGTGTATGCCGGCGCAATCCCAAAACACCTGTGTTTGCAAAACCTAAACGTGGTGATGAGGCCCAGGAGATCACTCCAGACCTTCTCTCTGAAGCTCCAGACACAGGGATGCCGGGCTGGGTCTGGCTGGATGTGAAGGGCGGCCCTTTACCTGACTTGAAAATGGTGTCCCAGGCCAGAGTGTGGTCCTGCCAGACCTTGGTGTTGAGGCTCTTGTGCAGCTCGACTGGAGTGACCATCATTCTCCCAAACGTGCTCATCATCTGAGAGAAATGCAAGCACCTTTTTATTCTGAATTCTCCGTCTCTCAAAGACAACATTCGTTCTGGAAGAAGAACATTCTAAACCACAGCACCCTGCACTTTTTAAAAGGCTGGAATTACAAGGACGCCCCCGGCTCTCTCTGCACTGGTCCTGGGAGCAGTGCCCACACCCCACCTCCACCTCCTTTCAATATTGAAGGTAATGTGGGGGATGACTTTCCACTGGATGTGTTTGATAAAAAATTGCAATCTAATGACTGAGTTGTAAACAAAAAAAGAGGAAAAACGATAACTTTCATATTCACTTCAATTTCTAATAATTTCCAAGCTTCAGTGATTTCCAAACCAATTTCAGTGTTTATCCTATCTACACACCACCCAAACTATTCAAAACGGTACAATCTGAAAAATTTTGGGTTCCTTTTAAAAAGTATTTTAAATCAACTGATCTTTAATTAAAATAGCTATTTTAACCTTGCCTAATCAAAGAAATAATGGATTTAATGCGCTTCTTTATGTTACGGGCATATATGCAGGGGTCCCCAACCCCCAGGCCATGCACCAATACTGGTCAGTGGCCTGTTAGGAACTGGGCCGCACAGCAGGAGGTGATCAGCAGGCCAGCAACATTACCACCTGGGCTCTGCCTCCCGTCAGATCAATGGCTGTGTTAGATTTTTACGGGAGTGCGAAGCCTACTGTGAATTGCCTATGCGGGGGATCTGGGTTCCACACTCCTTAGGAGAATCTAGTGACTGATGGTCTGTCACTGTCTCCCATCACTGCCAGATGGGACCTTCTGTCACTGTCTCCCGTCACACCCAGATGGGACCTTCTCATTGCAGGAAAACAAGCTCAGGGCTCCCACTGATTCCACATTATGGTGAGTATGTAATAATAATAGAAATAAAGTACACAGTAAAACGTAATGCACTTAAATTATGCTCCCTCCCCCACCCCACCACCCTGCCCTATCCACGGAAAAATTTGTCTTCCACGAAACTGGTCCCTGGTGCCAAAAACATTGAAGACAGCTGCATAGATGCACATCAATATACTAAAATATATAAGGCACATTAAAATGAACACTTAACTACAGAAATAAAATACGTGTATATGCCAGTTTTTGGGAAACACTGTGAAGTTCTGTAAAAATCGATCTGTAAAACATCAATCAAGAAAACGGCTCTCTTAAAGAGACGGCTTACTGTTTTGATGGCCATGATGAAGTTCATAGCTTCATCCCCTGCATTCTTCTGGAGAAGCCCAAATCTCTTCTCGTATAACACGAGGCAGATACCTGTCATTTAAAATAATCATCACTTTACACAATCACAGCAATGCTGGAGTCTATGTTTAGCTGGCTGTTAAAGACTCAATTCCATGCCTCTTAAAAGTGTGGGATTTTCTGAGAAAAGGCAACAGTGCAAGAATATCGAGGAAAAGCAAAGAGTCTGAGAGAAAGGGGACACAATCACTCTCTTTTTCTAGAAATTATCTCCAGGTCCAATGACTCATCACCTTAGAACGTGCTGATCAGAGATCCACTGTCCTGAGTCATGTAAGTCACACAAGAGATCCAGTGGCCCCAGCAAAGGTGCCGCAGGGTCAGGTCTACGCTATGCCTCTAACTCAGCTGTGTTTTTTTTTTTTTTTTTGGAGACAGAGTCTAGCTCTGTCGCCCAGGCTGGAGTGCAGTGGCCAGATCTCAGCTCACTGCAAGCTCCGCCTCCCGGGTTTACGCCATTCTCCTGGCTCAGCCTCCCGAGTAGCTGGGACTACAGGCGCCTGCCACCTCGCCCGGCTAGTTTTTTGTATTTTTTAGTAGAGACGGGGTTTCACCGTGTTAACCAGGATGGTCTCGATCTGCTGACCTTGTGATCCGCCCGTCTCGGCCTCCCAAAGTGCTGGGATTACAGGCTTGAGCCACCGCGCCCGGCCTCAGCTGTGTTTTTAGAGTCACTTATTGGATTCTACTGCCTGACATAATGAATTGGAAGCCATTCACCAGAGGAGGAGAAGGGAAGGGAATAATTATGTTCTAAACACCCATTACATGCCAGGTACTGGACTAGCACTTCACATAGGGTTTTATTTTTTCTTCCATTTCATCATCTTATTTAGAAGGAACCTTTTTAAAAATAAAATTCTCAACTCTTCATTTCAAAACATTTTACCTACAGAAAAGTTGAAGGAATGGTAAAATGAATACCTGTATCCTCTGAACTCATCAACATCTTGCTGCCATTTCTTTCTCTTTGTGTGTATGTATGCATACAAGTGTATACGTGGCTGTGTGTGCTGAACCATTTGAAAATAATTTTGAGCTCTCAGGACACTTCACCATTAAATATTTAGCAGTAATGTCCTAAGAATAAAGCATTCTCCTACATAACCACAATGTCATTAACATCCCTGAGAACATTAGCAACCATTCCATAACAAATCGACTGTGTCCCATTTTAAAATGTTCCCCATTGTCCTAAAAATTATCTCTTGTAAGCTTTTTTTTTTTTTTTTTTTTTTTAAAAAAAAAAGGACACAGGGCCAAGCATAGTGGTTCACATCTGTAATCCCAACACTTTAGGAAGCTGGGGCAGGCAGATTGCTTGAGCCCAGGAGTTCGAGAACAGCCTGGGCAACATGGCAAAATCCTGTCTCTACAAAAAAATAAAAATAAAAAATTAGCCAGGCATGGCTACATGTGCCTGTAGTTCCAGTTACTCTGGAGGCTGAGGTGGGAGGATCTCTTGGGCCCAGGAGGCCGAGGTTGCAGTGAGCCAAGATCGTACACTGGCCACTGCACCCTAGCCTTGGTGACATAGTCTAGAAAAAAAAATTATACAGGATTACTGCAGCCACCTTTTTAGTGGTGGATAATTGGCTCTTGACTTATAAAGTGGGAAACTAGGATTAAAAAGGTAAACAACCGGCCTAAAATCATAAACCTGAGGAGTGAGAGTCAATTAGCTTAGTCAGCAGCCACATACAACTTTTCCAACTACATCTGTGTTTTCCAAACTCTACTCATTTCTTCCCAACCTTTCAAGGTTTTGCCATATTTGTGTTCCACAGTGGTTGGTAGGTACACCACTGGGAATATGTGAGACAGCTCTGGGTGGTACATGAACTTTAAAAATAATTAGTTACCCTGAGGGGCCCGATGGCTCATGTCTGTAATCCCCGTACTCTCAGAGGTCAAGGCGGGAGCATCATCTGAGCTCAGGAGTTTGAGACTAACTGGTGGCAAAACCCCATCTCTACTAAAAAACACAAAAGTTAGCCAGGCATGGTGTCTCACGCCTGTAATCCCAGCACTTTGGAAGGCCGAGGTAGGCGGATCACAGGTCAGGTGTTCGAGACCAGCCTGGGCAACATGGTGAAACCCCATCTCTACTAAAAAATACAAAAATCAGCCAAGCATGGTGGCGTGCACCTGTAGTCCCAGCTACTCAGGAGTCTGAGGCAGGAGAATTGCTTGAACCCAGGAGGTGGAGGTTGCAGTGAGCCAAGATCACACCACTGCACTTAAGCCTGGGGGCAGAGTGAGAGTCTGTCTCAAATAAGTAATAAAAAAGTTATGTATTTTTATATTTATCTATTTATGGCCATATTTCTGACCTTGAATTTATGGAAGTGTTATAGGTTTTCCTTCTCTCTCTTCCAACAGCAGCCACAGTGATCCTCCCAGCAAATCTGCCCATATCGCACTGCTGCTGAATACAATCCACAGCTCCCAGTTACTTACAGGCTCATATTCAAACTCCTGCCCATACAGCTCTCCATGAGCTGGTTGCCGGCCCTCTCCCAGCCTCTGTTACAGGATATGCTTGTCATTCTGCACTTTTTCTGTAGGGACATCTTCCTTCCTCCCTTTTCAGCTGGTGAACTACTCAACCATCAGGTCTTAGCTGAGGGGCACCATCTCCGTGAAGTGACCCCTGGCCACGTCCGTCTTAGGTGGCCCTCTCAGATTCTCCCACAGCCCTGAAGGTCCTCAGCCAGGCGCTCTCCCACCTGATCACAGCTGCCTGCTCTCCTGCCTGCACCCCCATGGGCAGTGAGCTCTGCCCTTTATTTCCAGAGTAATCTTTGAAGAAAGTGGTCATGTCCTCCCCCCCTCACTTGCACCACCTGAGTCAGACGAGGAGTAAAGTCTTGCCAGGACCTATGAGCTGTGCCCTATTGGACGCCTGTCTTCTTTCTGACCTCATCTCTCACAGGCTCCCCTTCCTCCCGGCTTGTTCATTGTGATCCACTCACACCAGCACCTTGCAGTTCCTCAAACACGGTGCTCATGCTTCCCCCTCCCGGCATTTGCACTTCCTGTCTCTGCTGCCTGGAACAGTCCTCCACGGGTACCCTCGTGATTTGCTCCTTCCCTTCCTTTAGGACTTACCTCAAATGTCTCCTTACTAAAAAGGACTTGCCCCTCTTTCATTCTTTCATGTTCTTTCTTTCTTTCTTTTCTTCTTTCTTCTCTTTTTCCTTTCTCTTTTTCTTTCTCTCCTTCCTTCCTTCCTTCCTTCCTTCCTTCCTTCCTTCCTTCCTTCCTTCCTTCCTACCTCCCTCCCTCCCTTCTTTCTTCCCTCCCTCCCTCCCTTCTTTCTCTGTCTGTCTCTCTCTCTATCTCTCTCTCTCTCTGGAGACGGGGTCTCACACCATCACCCAGACCGTAATGCAGTGGTGCAATCATGGCTCACTTAAGCTTCAACCTCCCGGGGTCAAGCAATCCTCCCACCTCAGCCTCCTGAGTAGCTGGGACTGCAGGCATGTGCCGCCAACCCCGACTAATTTTTGTATTTTTTGTAGAGACAAGCTTTTGCTGTGTTGCCCAAGCTGGTCTCAGAATCCTGGGCTGGCCTCAAGCGATCTGCCCACCTCAGCCTCCCAGAGTCCTGGGATTCCAGGCATGAGCCACCGTGCCGACCTTCCATGCTCTTTCTTAACTCCCTTTCTGTTTTCCTTTACTCCCTGGAAGAGTGTATTTGAAAATGTGTTTACTTGTTGACTATCACCTTGTCTAGCATAGAAGCTCCCCAAGGGCAGGAAGGTTATGTGTTTTGTTCATTGTCATATCCCTAGTACCTAGCACAGTGCCAGACACACAGCAAATGTTCAACAAATGTTCGTTGTATGACTCCATAAACAATCCATAGTTCAAGGCATAACTTAAGCACCTAAAAGAAGCATTAAAAGGGCTGCTCTGGCCTTTCCCTAGGCAGCAATAATGCATGTTTACAAGGGTTGTCGAAAGAGCCGTGTTTTATCCGCAAAATCACCTGCAAAATCAATGAGCAAGACTATGACAACAACTTACTTTCAAACGACCATTTGTTCAGTTCGCTGTACAAGTCTTCAATGTGGCCTCTTTCATCACAGAGCTCATCTATTCTGCCCATAAAATCAGCCAAGACCTTCAAAGAAAACAACCGCAAAAGACACATTTTAAAGCCGTTGAAGGAAAACAGAAGTTTAAAGCTCACTGAGCTAACTTCAGGTCTTGCTACATTGAATATTCATTGGCCATAATGTTATTCATCCTGAAGTCACACTAATTATATATTCTCCCTGGAAATCCACCTCATCCCCTAGCGACCTCGTCCTGGGTTATTTCTTGAAGCCACCCTGAAGCTTAAGTTTCAGCTTTTGATCTAAAAATAATTCTGGCAATTTATGAAGAGGAAAACATTTTTTTTTTGTTGTTGTTTTTCTAATCAGAATGGGGGAATAAACCACAAAGGAATCAGCCAAGCGTCCCTGTTGGTCCAGCATCTCAAGGACTGTGATGAGGCAGCTATCCTGAGGTGTGCCTTTCCACATCTGGGCAAGGAAACGTCTCTTTATTGGTTGGTGGTTGTGTTAATGTTGAACTTGGAACCAGAAGATCCACCAATTCTGGACGCAGCTCTTTCCCTAAGTAGTCTATGACCTTGGGACAGTCACATAAGGCCTTTGGATGCCAGTTTCATAAACCAGAGTTTTCAATAACGAATGTCTCACATTTAATGAGGTCCACATGGTACCAAACACTGTACAAAGTGTATTGGCTGATCCTCCCACAACCCCATGATGTAGTAGGTACTGTCATTACTCATTTCCCATGTAACAGATGAGAAAGCTGAGGCTTAAAGAGGCCAAGTCACTCACTTATGCACACAGAGCTGATAAGTTGCCATCCTGGAGCCTGCCATGCGCTGGTGTGACCATAGAGTCCACATGTGTGGACTTACGTTGCATGTTTAATTTGCCCACGTAGTGCATTTAAAAGTTCTTTGAATTTGTTACCATTAAAAAATCAAGAGGTTTCGTATGAACATGTGGATTTACCACTACTAGTTTAACAATGTAAATAATAATTACGAGACTTGGAGACACGAGGTCTGCGTTCCGACATGGCAATCATTTGCTGGAACTGGGGCTGCTGTCCCTCCTAGGAGGGGCGCGCACTATCACGTTTCCTGAAATTTTTATTGGGTCTGCCTTATTATTTTATATTAGTCCCGTGGCCCCTGGAAGGTTCTGAGTTTGCAATCCTTCACCTATGTGATCCCATCTGGGGACACATCCAGTTCAAAATAAACATCCAAAGTGAACAGAAGTAGAAAGAGATTACTATATGCTTAAAACCCCCTTTGACTCTGTGCTGGCAAAGGGGCGATGTCCAGATACTTTAGTATGATACAAAAATATTGTTAAGACCTGTCCAGTATCATTTCAGAGAAAGCCTCACGTCAGCTACACTAAATGACTGAGTCTCTGAACACACCATGTCATTTCATGCCTCCCTGTTTTCAGAAGGCTATTGTCTCTGCCTTTCCCCACCTTCTCTGCCTTCAGACTCCTGCAAAACCTAGCTCAAATATCACTACTTAAGAACTTTACAAGGGTATCTCATTTAACTCTCACAGCAAACCCGTGCGGCAGGAACTGTTACTCCCATTTTGTAGATGGGGAAACTGAGGCTTAGGGAAGGTAAGTGGTATAGCCAGGTCTCATAGTCAGGGAGTGGAAGGCTGGGGCTCAAATCCAGGGCTGTAGAATACCAAAGTCCATGCTCCCCATTGCTCCCTCTTTGTGATATGACTTTAAAAGAGGGCGAAGGAGGGAGAAATAAGGGTTTGGTGGGGAGGAGGTTGTAGGAAGGAATGGAGAGAGAGAGAAGACCCCCCTTTGAATCACCCGAATTGCATGCTTTTTTCCTTTGTATTTTGTAGCGGTCACTTGAAGCTCCACCAATATCCCTATGTCCCCAAGAGCCCCAGGAAAGCTGGCCCCAGCCTACAAACCTCATTGATTTTGTTGTCCAGCTTCATCACTTCCACTGGTTTCATTAGTTTCTTTTGAAAGGCACTCCGGACCCGCTGCCAGTCTTCCCCTTCCCTGTGAGAGAAGCAGGAATACATTTAGAGCACATTGAAAAGAAAAGAAGGGAGATGCAGAAATACCCCCAGCTGCAACTTCAGGAACCATAAAATCAAATAAACACTGAGAATCATGCCGAGAAATATCCAGAGAATATTATCATTAGAATATCTGGGATAAAATAGTGATCGTATTTTGACAATAGTTTGACACTAGGATGCAAAAGCACCTAGTCAAAGACTGCACCAGAAAGTTGAAGTCCAGATAATTTGGGTTCAGGGGTTTTGAGGTGTCCTTGCAGGGAGTGGGGCTGGAAGGCCTGGGGCCAATTCCTAGCCGTAAAAAGGGGCATGTGAACACCCCATCACCAGCAACTCAGACCTGTTTGAGGAAAGAATCTTGTCTTCTTTCGACTAATTGGTGTGGGCTTCGTATTTACAAAATATCTCATATTTAGAATTTTACTATTGCCTCCAAATGATAACATACAGCCAGAGATTCACTGGAGTAATAAGCCTTTTGTGAACGTGTACTTGTATGCACCTGCCCCACAGCAGACCACACAGCCTGTGATGCACCGTGCATTAACAGGGTTTTCAATTCCTCATTATATCCTGGAAAATATAACTATTAGGCATTACAATTTGGGGGTAAAGGTGCTAACTTGTTAAATGCTAACAACTAAAAAGCAGAAGAATCACATCCCATTGTAGCATTTATCGACCTAAAACACAACTTTGATATCCCTCCTTATTCCACCTTTACAAGTAGAAATAAGGCATGCCCCGCAATCCTCTGCAGAAAAGGCCACTGTCAAAAGCAAAAGAGGTTAACTCCTGGCTCTTGAGCTTACAAGGTGTTTCAGGGAATTTTAAAGGACAATTTTGTTTGTATAAGATGTTTGCCTGGTACGCTGACTTCAGAACCTCATCCTGCCCAAGAGTCTGAACACCACAGTTTGTACAACTCTGTTTTGGCCTTTCTTTGATGGGAGGGTGTGGCCCTGCTCTGTTGCCAGAGAGAACGCAGGTGCCCGGTGCACAGCACAGCTTTTCCGTGGACCGACTCTAATCTATACAAGAGCTCAGGGTTGCAATGGCACCGGAGAGGGGCTTTGGTATCCGCCCTACATAAGAAGCATCCAACCCCAGGGAACTCTAACTCCACCTCTTCACAATTTCCAAGCGCCGTCAGGCTCATCAGGCCTGGCTGCATGCCCAGGTCCCTCGGATTGGACTCACAGGATCAGCAGCCCGTAACCTTCTTTGCGGTAATCGCGATAGGCCTTCCACGGTTTGATCTCCAGCCGCTGCGGGTACGCGCTCTCGGTGCGGTACAGCGCTTCCAGCAGGCATGGCGAGCCCAGGTGCACCGACTCAAAGGAACCCAACTTCATGCGGAAAATCTTGCCGTACTTCTTGTGGTACTCCACCTGCAGCGGGCCGGGCACAGCGCGGTGTCAGCGCGCATCCTCCGCCGTGGCCGAAGCGCTTTCCCTCCTCCCGCCTCCTTCCTCCTCGGGAAACGGGGTCCCTCACTGCCCAGACGCCGAAGCGCACCGTGCGCCGCGCACGTCGGGGAGGGTTTGGAGCGCCGCTGGGAGGGCGGAACAGGGAGGAGAAAGGGAGTCAGGGGCGCGAAAAGGTATTTACCAGGGTGTCGTGCTGTTTCTTGAGCCCCCCTTTCCAGAGAATCTGCAGCAGGCTACCCAGCAGTGGCCAGCTGGTGGGGCCCGGCAGGGCGGCCGCGTTCTGAGTCTCGCCACCAGCTGTCAGCGGGCAGACTGGCACCTCTCGCGGCTGAGGGGACGAGTACGCGGTAGATGTCACCGGTCTCGGGGGCTGCCTCGAACTGCGCAGCTGCTGCAGGAAGGCGGCAAGCGAGCGGCTCTTGCTGATGGGGGAGCTCATGGCAGCGGGGGACACCGGAGCGCGGGAAGGCACAGGGACGGGGTGGGGTGAGGTTGGTAGGAGGCGCTGGTGGGATTCGGAGCTTAAAGATTCTGGGAAAGGGAGGCAAAGAGGGCCAGCTGGTGTGATGGAGCGGGGTGAGGCGGGACAGGCAGCAGAAAGGACCTCGGCAAGGATGCTCGACGCTGCACCACGCGACAGCCTCAGAGCACTGGTGCCTCCTTGCGCTAGCCACAGGCGCTGGAAGAGGGCAGCCGGGGTCTGGGGACCTCTTGAAAAGGGAACGCTAGGAGTCCTCCTGTTGGTCTGCAAGGCTGACCTCTAGGGTCTGGCTGGAGCCACCGGGAGGAGGTGTCAAGGAGAGTAGATGAGATGCTGCTGGTGCCGCGTTTCCTCCTGTCCCTCTCCATGTTCCTATGTCCGGGGACCATGCATTTATGGAGACTGGGCATGCCCTGGGTGGCCAATGAGCACGCAGAGGAGGGCGGAGTGGCCCCCGGCTGGCCAGGCTCCGAGGGACGCAGGACCCAGAGGATGGGGGTGGAAGGAGGATGGAGTCAGCGAGGTGAGCGAGGGCATCCGGGCCTCAGGTGACCGGGGCTCTGTTCGCCAGGCGCGGGAGGTGGGGTGGGGGCGGCAGACTCCACCCCGGAGATAACCCCCGGGAAGGCACGCGAAGCCCGGAGTTCACCGGGTTTGCGCCGAACGCGCCTCCCTGCCCTCCCCTGGCTGGCAGGAGCCGGCAGCGGCGGCCGTAGTTGCCGCCCTGCGCTTGCACAATCGCGATGCCGGGCGGGTGAGGTCCACGAGTGCGGACCCAGAAAAGCTGCTGGCGTCTGCCAGGGGCCCGGGGAGCCAGATCCCCCCAGCCTGGACTGAAGTGTTTTTTTTTTTTTTTTTTTTCCTTTATTTTGGAGGAAGTTTGGCTTTCTGCGCCTCCCAGGGTGGGGAGGATTTGAGTCTTACTGAAATGCACCAGAAGAAGAGACTTTCTTAACTTGAGCAAGAAGGGGAGTTTGTAGAATTTCCTTCCTGCTGCTTCATGTTTGGTGGTTTTGCAGATTAAATGAATTAATGCACGTAAAGCGGCAACAACGAAGCCTTGTCCATAGTCAACAGTCAATAAAAATTAGTTGCTGTTGTTATTTCTTTAGGAAGTTAGGAAATGAAGCTTGAGAGCTTGGCTTGCACCCATGTTGCTTGAATTCAGGCTGGGCCACCTCCCGTATGTCCACCGCCCGTCTCTGTTCTTGTACACCGACTACCTTGTGCAAAGGAGGGGCACACAGAGCTCGAAACCACCGTCCCCAATACTGCCCCCCTCCCCCAAGGTGCGTCCTAGGCAGCTCCAGTGACAAACATACACAATTTCTAGAGTCATCGCGGCCAGCAAGAGTAGAACTCGCTTTGCTAATTCAGGAAGAGAAGCTGGAGACTTTTGTTGATTGTTTTAAAGTGGCTGGAATCCTTTCAACCTGATCCAATACAAAACTACCACCAGTCAGGGAGGAGCGGAGGGACAGTCTGTTTACTCGCCCTGCTTTTCAGTCACGTGTCTCGGTCATTTTTGCCCCCAGTGTTGGCAAATCCTTACCTGGTAAATTCTTTTGTAAGCCTCTAGTTTGTTTCTTAAAAATCTTTTGCGGATGGGCGCCTTGGCTCACACCTGTAATCCCAGCACTTTGGGAGGCCAAGGCGGGCGGATCACGAGGTCAGGAGATCGAGACCATCCTGGCTAACACGGTGAAACCCCATGTTAAATTTTTGTAAAAATACAAAAAATTAGCCGGGCGTGGTGGCAGGTGCCTGTGGTCCCAGCTATTCGGGAGGCTGAGGCTGGAGAACGGCGTGAACCCGGTAGGCGGAGCTTGCAGTGAGCCGGGATCTCACCACTGCATTCCAGCCTAGGAGCCAGAGCGAGACTCCGACTCAAAAAAAAAAAAAAAAAAAAAAAAAAATTCTTTTGCAGTCCAACTTGAGCTTGAACACCATGATTTCTGATTTGTCTGGAGGGGTTAATGACTGTTTATGTTAATAAAAATAATAGCTATTGATATAAACTTTGTGACTCTTATACATATTTACATATACATTATATGGTATATATGATACAGCATACACTATAGATTATGTTATATGCAATATACACTAAATATATATAATATGGTATAGATTGCATATAGTATGTAGATTCCATGTGTTATATAATATTCTCATGAAAGCTTTCTAGGGCTTATGATAAGTCAGGCACTGAGCTAGCCATTTTACATCAATTTTTCCATTTAGTTCTCATCTCAGCCCAATGTCAATAACATAAAATAAAATAAAAAACCAAAAAAAAAATCAAAGACAAGCAGACAAAAAAACCCTTGACTCTTACAGAGCTAAATAATTTGCCCAATGTCACAGACCTTACTATTGGCTCAGGTGGGATTCAGACCCAATATTTTCTGATTCTAGGCTGGGCCCTAAATAATACACCCATCCATATACATCATGCTGTGTTATGTCACTTTTTCTTAAACCAGAGTGTCTCAGAATATTGGAAGTATTTCTTAAATGAGAATTATCACCAAGAGGAAAGTGGGTGGGGTCAGAATGCCCACCATATCAGTACGTGTGGGGCAGTGTGAGGCAAACGTTTTGTGTACTGATGGTGGTGAAAAAGAATAGCTCTGGCTAAGTGTGGTGGCTCATGCCTGTAATCCCAGCGCTTTGGGAGGCCAAGGCAAGCGGATCACCTGAGGTCAGGAGTTCGAGACCAGCCTGGCCAACATGGTGAAAGCCCGTTTCTACCAAGAATACAAAAATTAGCCAGGTGTGGTGGTGCATGCCTGTAGTCCCAGCTACTCAGGAGGCTGAGGCAGGAGAATCGCTTG